TATAAATGGCTGCTTGCACTGTATGCTTCCCAGGAAGTTGAGTTTGTTTCAGAATGTTCTCAGGTCTGCTGGGGCAATAGTATAGATTGGGAAGCGCATAGAGCTTGCTGTTGAGCGGGGATTTGCACTATACAAATGCTATCTTATTATTATTATTGTCTGTAGGATTCATTTCGGGGAAAAGAAGGTTAAAAATAGAAACGTATTCTAAGGTCCTTGTGTTGGGGCCAATTATTGTATTATTATATATTTCGGTGACACCCCCCCCCCCCTTCCAGCGTATTACAACTGACTGAGGTGTCTTTAGGCCATTCTCAAAGGGAGGATATTAACATGTTCTTACGCACAGTAGAATTGTAAATGAGCTGATTTATCAATGTCACGTGCAAATACTTCCAAATAATTATTTCTTCAACCTTTTCCCTTCCAATTTTTTTTACTTCTTCAACTGTTTAACTATTCCAACTTTTTACCCTTCCAAATTGTAATTTCTTCATCATCACCATCATCCAGTGCCAGATCTGCGGCAGACATCGGCGATCATGATTTTCCATTCATTCCTTTGCTCGGATGCTTTCAGAAATGCTACGTTTCCCTGATTTTTCCCTGTTACCCATTTGTTTAGGTTCCCTAAGTATGTTGTTCTGGGCCTACCCCTGCCTCGCTTGCCCTCAATTTTGCCAGTGAGAGCTAGATGTTCAAGACCCTTATGTCTATTCAGGTGTCCCAAAAACTGCATTTGTCGTTTCCTGATTGTTTAATTTCTTCATCTGTTAACTCTTCCAACTTTTTACTTTTCCGACCTGTGACAGGCGTTACGTAACATAAAAGAAAATAAATAATGACACATTTCCCCCCTTCTCTCTCCCAGAAGCCATGACACCTTCATCAACGATCGGGATCTTCCTTCCAACAGCGTAACCTCCCCTCACTCCCTCCACGCAAGCGCACTGTTGCCATGGCAGCCGCAGTAAACATGTCGGAGCTCCTCCCCTCCGCCACCTTCCCCTCCCCCGTGGATGGCTCGATCCGGGGCCTGGAGGCAGAGAGGCAGGTTTTCGTCATCGTTCTAGAAGCTCTGGCGCTCCTCGTCCTCTGGGTCTTCTCCCTTCTCGGGAACACCTTGGTGGTTCTGGTCATCATCAGGAGCCGGCGAGTCCAGTCCACGACCAACTTCTTCGTCATGAGCCTCGCCTGCAGTGACGTGGTTCTCGTCTTGCTCTCCGCGCCTTTCATTTGCGTGCGCGTCATCCTGCAGATGTGGGCGCCCGGCAACTTCCTGTGCCGGATGGTGCGCTTCGTTCAGTTCACCTCCATGTCCAGCACCACCTTCGTCCTCGTCGCCATCTGCATCGACCGGTTCTACACCATTATCTACCCGCTCAGCTTCAAAATCACGCGCGGGACAGCCAAGAGAATGGTGGTCACGGCTTGGGGGGCGTCGGCTCTCATCTCCTCCTTCTGTGTCTACTTCTTCGACCAGGTGATCGTGCGGGCGTCTGTGAACGTAACCAGCACCCGTTTTGTGTGTCCGACGTACGTGCCGGCTTCCCATTGGTCGGGCGTGTTGTACGCCGGCCTGTGTATGACGACCCAGTACCTGCTGCCAGCCATCGCTGTAATCGTTGGATATTGTAAAATATTTCTGTACATCCGAGCTATGAGGCAACAAGTGCAGTGCTCGAGACTCTCCTCAAGCTTCAACATTGTGCCCAGGACAAAAGTACAGATGGTCAAAATGTTATTTACCATCACCGTTTTGACGATGCTGCTCTACCTCCCTTTCTACGGGTCCCACATCGTGTACTGCATTTCTTACAAATCTTACTTCAGCGCTGACGTTTTCATTTCCTCGTACTGGCTCATCGCAGCGTCCACCGCCATGAAGCCAATCGTCTACGCGTGTCAGAACAGCAACTTCTGGAGAGGCTGCAAGGAGGTGTTGTGTATGTCCACCATGAGATGCTACCGCTTCAACGTCTACGCCGTCACCAACGCTTCCACCATCAGCAAGAGGAACTACGTCGGGGTGATGGATGTACAAGCGGAGCAAGGACTCAGGGAGAACGAGTCCCCGATGGAGGCCTTCAACAGACACAAGCAGGGGGCGCTCACCTCTTGGTCCATTCATGGGAACCTCCCGTCCACTTCCTTCTGATTGTTGTTGTTGTTTTGTTATTGTTGGTGATGTTGTTTTTTGTTTCATTTGGTGGGTTTGGGTTGTTGTTTGTTGGGG